TTTAACAAACTGTCCCGTGTGAGTCCAGAAATATATGATGTGTGACTGTATGTCACATAATTAAAGGCTGCCGGCGGTTACGTCAATTTTCTATTCATTTGAGGCACTTGTTCTGAATGACCAACCACTCTTCACGTGACGTTGGGTGGTTATAGCCACGTCTGTTTGGGTTTAACTGCATTGAGCTCAACTCGGAAACGGTTTCCTCACCGCTCTACCGATGAGCAACTCCGTATGGATGTCAGCAATGGTCTCGACCTCCGCTGAGATGTCATTTAATCTTTAAAACAAAAAATCACCAAAGGTTGCAATTGCATAAGGGGGCGAGCTGTGTGCACAAAGATAAATAACTGCAACACGGTCTGGAAAGCGATTCGTTTGGCTTTGGCCACCGTTAGTTTTTAATTACAGCGTGTTCAGTCACGCGACACAAGCTGTTATCGAAGTGGCATTATGGTTGAGGTAGCCTCGTACAGAGATACCACTGCACAATTGTGTATCACGTGGAATTGTTAATTGTTGTTGTAACTGTCTGACCACGTCCCTGGACATTTATGAGAAAGAGTTTCATAGCTCACGGGATTACTACAGTTTAAATAGAGATTCTGATTGTGATTCTGGAATGTTTTCTGCATTGGAAGTGAATCACATAATTGTGCCATCTGTCGTAAACTTAACTTTAATATTACACCATTTGCAAGAAGGGGCATAATGTGCACATTGCATAGGTAAGTGTGCAGCCATCCAATTGCTTGCTCACTCCACTGCTGGCGTAAGGGCGTTCACTCGAGGGAGCTCTATAGAGCCCCTCTGGACAAGGTATTGGGCCTACTCTTCCCTTTTGGCAAAACGTTTTGGAATAGGTCAGAGTACCCATGCTCTGCACCCACCACATGCCACCAGCCGATCGACTAACTTTGGTGAAACGATTTATACTTCTGGGTGGACAGAGGTGGAGGGATTTAAGAAACGATTCCCATTGTTTCAACTTCCACAGTACGAGATTTGAGAATCAGAATCTTTATGAACAATGGAGGAATCCGATGAGCTACAAAGCGCTTTATTCACAGACGGTGGGTGACCTCTACATCGCACGTCCAGTGGGCTCGCCATCGCACTACGGCAGCATCCGCAGTTCGTAGAATGGCCACTGAAAAGTGAAACGAATCTGCGACTAAAGTTCCCGGAATATAAATCCACATTTCAGCAAAATCGCCAGTCCTCACTGGATAATGGCTTCTCTCCTGGTTAAATGAGACATCGAATCCACACACTGACTGCACTCATTTGCAGATGTACGGAACCATTCTGCATTGGCATGCAATAATCCTCGTGCAGCATCTTATGACAAAAACATACATTTTAAAAGTATCACGTAAACTTAAATATTCTGAATTGTTGAAAACTTTGGAAAATGAGGCTGAAAATGATGTCTGATTGGTTGAAGTCGGAGCCTCACAGTGTATATAACGGCAATGTTAGGCATACACATTTGGCAAAATTCCAAATGAAGAGTCATGCCTATTGCCCAATTTCGCTGTGAGAATTGCTCTTCAACTCGCCGGCGAGCGGACACACGATCGCCGCATTGTTAAACACTCGCACAGCACGTGACAATTCATCTTGCCAGGCTGTCGGGTGGCGGAGGGTTTCACGACGCATGTTTGGTAAATAAATTATCTGGTGCTGCTTCTGCTGCGTTGGCAATGGTGGACAAGCACAATTCAAATAAATAAAGAAACTCAACATACTCGCAACAACACTGTGGTCTTAAAATATGCTTTTTTTTAATACAGATGTGCTATGAGAAGGGCCACGTCTCGAATCGTCACAGTTTTAGTAAGATCATTGTGGCCTAGCCTAAAAATAAATTATGAATTACGATATTGGCTACCTGTGTGTCAAGTTAAGACCATGGAAGATGGCCGAGAGGCCTTCATCCAGCAGTGGATACATCATTGTGCTGATGATGCAGTGTAAATTAGTTGATTAATTATAAAGAGGGCATACATTGGTAGGCGTAATGAAAGAGGAATGACGAATGAATAAGACGATCAATATAATTTCGTGTCAAAACTGAATTTTCCACACCAGATGTCGGTAAGAGCAGCTATAATAAACAACACACTTAAAAAAAAAAAACTACTAATGAAACACATTCACATGTTTCCTGACATAAAAAAAAATGCTCTGGTGAATATTTGTCAAGTAACTAACTCCAAATCATGATCCATTATCTGCCTTGGAACCGTTAACTGCGTAACCGCCAAGTGGCGACGAGTAATTTAACAGTTTATTTATAGGCAGTGTTCATGTCGGACTCGTCTCGCTAATGAGCGTTCAGCACCCCCTGTAGCGCGGACAGCGCACGTTTGTATTTCCCCGCAGAAATTACCGGGGACCGATCGCCCGCTGTGTCAACCGACACGATCGATCCCTCTCGCCACCGCCGAGGAAGAAAAACAATGCACATGCGCGGATTCCGTAACGCTTTCTGCCACGCGTTCGCCTGCAGAAGCGAGGTGTCACATTGTAAGTCGTAATGACGTCGTGTGGCGTGTGACAAGTTTCTCAAGGGCGCGTCCCGAGTAGGGGCACACGTTTTTTCACCTCGCTGATCTCGTCAAGGAGCATCAACCATCCCGCAAACTCTGGTCATCCTCGCAGCGGCGGCTTTTGGCCAACCATCGAACAAAGACGATGGTCACCGCATCTCGCGCTTGCAGATGCGCTTCTGCGGCGGTCTGGAATGCTCTTCCTTCCGATATTAGGAAGCCACTGGAGCTACGCACTTTTAAATCTACACTGAAAACTCATTTCTAGAGAACTGCTTATTATGTTTAGTTTGTTGTCCTTCCACAGCACCTCCGATTAGCATGGTTGGCTACTTACGGTGCCAAAGAAGTTCGACAAGTTCTCACGAGGGCTCTATCCATCTTGGGTCACACTCACGGCAGTGATTGTTCTGCCCTCTCCCCAGATTTTAGACAAACAGAGCCGACGCCTGACCGTGGTGAACTGCAGTCAGAAATAATACAAAATATGCCTCGGACTTAAAAAAAAAGTCACTACTCATATATAGTACTTTAATTTTAAGCATAATATTAATTATTAGACATAAATGTGACATTTTTGCAACGTGTTACATTGCTGCTGCTGCTCCTAATATTTTCATAATGGAGATTTAGAATATGCGCTATGCGATGTAATTGAGCAGCGAGGTTTTATACATGAAGATAATGGAAGGAAATGGGAACGCATGTAAATGGTAATGGTGATACAGCATGGAGTGTAATGGGGAATGGCAGATTTGAGGAAGCATTATGCCTCTGTATCCAGAATAAGTGGAGCACGGTTGGCTACGTATGATGAAAAAGGAGTTCAACACACATACGTATGTTGAACGGAACAATGTCATAAGAACGTGAGATTATTGCGTTTTCGTTTGTTGTCCTTCCCCCCGCCCCTCTGATTAGCGTGGTTGGCTATGGTTGATGCGAAAGAAGTTCAACGTACGTGCGCACATACGTACATATATATATGTGCAGTACACAGACAGTGAGATTATTTAGTTTCCGCGCTGCCAAGGGAGGCGAAATAACCGCATGTCCACCTTGTGGTATTTCGATCATGACATTGGGTTTTTATCTTTACAAATCAGAGGTCATTGCTTTCAGCGTTAACGACGAAAGGGTAGATGAGCACCCGCGAAATGATCGGCTCTTGTGGAGCCTGCGTGCCACGGGCGGGCCCGGCACGAGCTTCATTCTAAGTGAATGAGGAACTAAGTTGTAGCGTTGGGAGTGCGATGGCTGCGGAGGTTTTTATTCGCTGCGAGACCACGATGCCCCGGTCACATCACCGCCGCAGTTGCTCCTGGCTGAGATTTTGAACATCGTTTTTTTTTTAAACCTTTACTGAGGCTTCACTCACGTTGGACGGCCCCATTCGCACATCCGGGGCATGTGTCCATGAAATAAGAGCTGTTTGTATTTCCAGCTGTCTTCCTTTAAATCAGTGTTTGTCAAGCATAAAATTATTTTTTTTAGTAAAAAATGGCAATGTTGCTATGTCAGAGGCCGGTTTTATCTGCAATGAGTAGATAATTATAATGTTGCTGCTCATGAGGATAGACCAAGTTGACCCTGACCAGGAGTTTAAATTCCAACCTTGCGACTTTCAATCTAACGCTGTGCCAGTGTCGTCTGGCCACCTATTTGAAATGCACGGTCACGCGCGGCTACAAAAATGGCATCGGGTGACTAATTGACGGGGGAATATCTGCCGGAGCAGACCCGATTCGGATGCCTTTGCAGAGAGCGCGAGCGGGGATTACAGGGTTGGGAGAGCCTCGCTCACAGGGCGTGCAATACATCACGCCCTTTAGGCACGGGCTCACCTCGCTGCTCCCGGTCATGATCAGCACTTGCGGCGAGATTGATTTGTTTTCCCTTATTACGACGGAACACGCTAACAGTGGCCGCACGTGGTTAACACAAGACAAAGATCCCCCCCCCCCCCCCATACAGCCCTAGCAGACTGTTGGGGCGAGTGCTGTCAGCGGGGATGCGCTACGAACCTGGTGACACGAGTTCGATTCCCCCTCACGGTCACCACCGGTGACGATTATCTGAACCGGTCCTGGGCCTTCCCTAGGTCGACTCAGCCTCAAATGAGTACCTGGCACGGTGTGTAAACACTGTCACTCGGGAGACAAAGGCGGTCGGGCGTGGTGCTGGCCACCCACCCCCTCCTGTACCGTGCCGGCTTTCATAACCAAATACAAAGATCTCCCATGGCCTTAACAGACCGTTGAGGCTACGACTGCTGGGGCGAGTGCTGTCAGCGGGGCTGCGATACGAACCCGGCGACCCGAGTCCGTTTCCCGTTCACGGCCACCACCGGTGCAAGCGCCTTCATAGGACGACCGGTTGGCCGGCTACGTGGATAACCCCCGCCCCCCCCCCCCACCGCACCCTGGACTCCGTCACCGCGCTCACCACACAGAGGGGAGCTCCGCGCCGGACACCTCCAGGAAGTCGTAGCCGGCCTCGAGCTGGAAGTCGGTGAAGACGAGCGACACGGTGTCGCCCGGCTCGCCCAGCACGAGCCACGTGCACGACGCTTTGTTGTCGTACTCGTTGGGGAAGCCCGGGCTGCTGATGGTGCCGCTGGGGCCGTGCGGCGTTCCCCCGCAAGCCCCCTCGGCTGGTGGGAGGCGAGACAAAGGCGGAGGGGGGGGGCCCGATAGCCATTGAGCCCCGGTGGATTCACCTCGGCGCGGTGATGGAACTCTACAGACGCGTTGCGTCGGATAATGCAGCTCATCGTTGCCAAAATGCAGACCGCAAAACCGATGAAAAATGCTCATCATTCTCATGTTTTATTTTGCTTAATCTTTTGTTATTTCAACAAAACCCCAGCATTCTGGGAATTGTACATGTGATTCATTATTGCCGCTGATACTTTAATTTAGGGAGGACTAATTGTTTTTTTTTACAATTGGGATCTGTCAGATCCAATCAGACACCATTGAGATCCAGAGCTAATTGAATCAATCCACATTTTGGATTACATTTTTCGGTGGTTAAAATGAGTTATCATCACCTTATCAGATTTTGCATTATAATTAGTGCATGTAAAATTTGTGTGAAATACCCCACTAATTAAATAAATTAATTTGAAGCAAGATTTTGTTCTTTAATTGCGGAAGCCGAGCCGCCAATGTTGTCATTGATGACGGACTCGAGACGCCTGTAGGTGGAGCGGCGGTGCAGTTACGTGAGCCGTGCCGACTGACGTCACCACCTCAGAATGTGAAGCCACTTCAACAACAACTACAGCAGCGTGCCGATGGTTGTGATCAGACAAACTCTCAGACAAGTTCTCAGTGGGAGACTGCGCTCCGAAATGCATCGCGAATGCATTCGAGACACCCCCAATCGGGCGGGAGCGGCATCTCTCCGCCGAGCGGTGATACGTATGAAAGGAAAAGGTGCAGCCCTGCAACGGCTTCCTCACGCCACCGCTGGCGGATGCGCCTCGGACAAGAGAGGAATCACTGCATGGCCCTTTTTCGACGGTTATCTTGGCTGACTGAAAGGAGGCGGCGAGTACCCACAATTTACCCCACCACGCACGTGACATGCCAATTGGCTGCGGCCTACCCATCGCTACCGTCCACTCGCGAACAACCCGGCGGCTCTTCATCCGCGCCAGGGTCGGCTCGGCACGGCCCCCCGGCGGGGCTCTGCACCGCGCGTCGGAGGAGAGGGCGCGAGCGCACGCGCGTGCGAGCGTCTCCGAGCGAGAGCCGAGCCCGGGGGTGGGGAAGGGGGAACTCACCCTTGCAGTGCGGCACGGGGAAGTCCCAGGAGGCGAGGCTTTCGGCGCCGGAGACGCACGTGAGCACGGCGTGCCCCTCCAGCACGTAGCCCGGCACGCAGCCGTAGCGGACGGCGTCGCCCACGCCGAAGCCGGCGCCGTGCACGGTGCCGTGCGCCGGAGCGCCCGGGTTGCCGCACGCGCTGCTCTGCAAAACTGGGGGAATGTGAGAGAAGAGGAGAGAGGCGACGACGATTTAAACTGCGGCATAGGAACATCGCGCTCGCTGGGGGGGGGGGGATGGGGGACCGCGTGCGACCGTCGTGGAGTTTCAGCAGGAGGGAGGGGGGACCCTTATCCGCAATTTTCCCGAGCGTAGAAATGTCCAGGTTCTACCGCATGTTCTTGCTCCACTGCTCAAATATCACGAACCATCGTCAAATGTCGCGAGGCGTGCAATCCGCAGGGTGCCGAATGACAACTTCGATGGTGATGATGATGTAAGATGATGATGACTAGAAATGAGAATGAAGGTGATGGATGATGATGATGACAGTATCGATTTACGACATTCATCACCATCGCCTTCGTCACTGTGAATGCCAGCCCCACAGTTGTCATCAGGGATCACGGCCACCGGGAACAGCATTACTGAGGCAGACATGAATACAACTACAACCACCATTTTGATTTTCTTCCATACACTCATTCGTATTTATCCTTTGCATACAGTTGATGTTCTTTCACGTATCTAATGCTCTGAGCAGATATGCAATGACCGATTTCGCACCTCCGATTATCACGGTTGGCTACATACGTTGCGAAAGTTCTGTGGCCGTCTGGAACGCTCTTCCTCCCGACATTAGGATACTACCAGAGCTATGGACTTTTAAATCATCTATACGAAAAAAACTCATTTCTTGAGAACCACTTTTTGCGTTTCATTTGTTGTACTTCCCCCGCACCTCCGATTAGTGCGGTTGGCTATGTACGGTGCGAAAGAAGTCTCAAAATACATACAACATACATACAACATACATACAGAAGAAGTTCAACACGCATATGCAAACGGGAACCAAGAAGTATATCTCTTTAGCATGCAACTCATGCAATTATACATTTGAAAAGGGTGACCTCGGCACCCAATTCATGAGTTTGCAGAGACACTGATTTTATAATATTGTGTCTGAAAAGAGTGCAACTGCCAGGAAATAATAGACATATGAACAAGTATCCTTCAACAAAGGTCAGAAGCAGCCTTTCTGCACAACACATTAATTTGAATCGTGATAATCTACAGTGACGTAGGTTGCAGTTAAGCTTATGCAAACTATGTCCTGCAGGTAAAATTGAAATCAGGTATTTGGGACATATGGAATTAATGGGAAATACAAGGACACATCACAAATGCCCCATGCAGGTAATACAGGCTGGCTGCAAAAGTTGTAAAAGATGGGCCGATATTTCAGGTTTCCACAGAGCCATGGGACGCGATTCACGAAGGGTTATTGAGTGAAATTTTCTGGAAAAATGTTGCAGGTGGGAAAATATTGGCAAAAAATTAGAATCGATCGCATTAATGCAAAAGGGTTTGGATGCCATTCAGTTTGCAATGGGTGGAGTGCCATTGTGAACCTAACCTGCTTAAGAAGGACCATGGCATATTTATAATTGTGGATTTAACTATTTCTTAAATAGATCGTATATTTAAATGGTAAGTTAACTGTCCTGGAATAAAAAAAAACAATATTTCAATACTATCATTCTTACGTTTTGCAGGGGCAATAGGCTGGTTATCTGTAATACCCTTAGCTTGCATTGTACCTGGAGTTAACATTGTACATCTGTTTCAAAGACGAGGATACACAGGGCTGCCGGTGTACATTTGATCATGACCTAGATGTTACAGAAGAGAAGGCAAATGAGCAGCAAGAGGTAGCGGTGGATATTTTGACACTACAAAGTGTGTTGTATACACAATTTGCGACGGAAACGTAAATATTTGACAAAGTTTGGAGTTCTTGCGACTGCTGCGCAAGAGCATGAATCGGAACCATGAGCATTCTGAGGAACGATTGAACATTTAAAAAAAGGTTAAAGATTTTGCAGATATTCTGAGACTCATTCCGAGACATCAGTTTAGGGGAAAATCATTTCAGGGGCGCGTTTTCTACAGTCATGCCGAAACGAATGGCGAGTTAAGGAGGCCTGTGCGTGATACATTCAGATAAGACGTTGCCATGCACGAGGGACGACTCACGCGCACAGGTGTGTGTCTGTGTGTGCGTGTGTGTGCGCGTGTGTGTGTGTATACGTGCGTGTGTGTGATGCGTCTGTGTGTGTGTATACGTGTGTGTGTGTGCGTGATGCGGTAGTGTAGCGGTTAGCACGCTGCACTACAAAGCTAGCGATCGGGGTTTCGATTCCCGCTCACGGCTAACACCTGTGACGATTATCCGAACCGGTCGTGGGCCTCCCCTAGGTCGACTCGGCCTCAAGTTAGTACCCCGTGCAGTGTGTAAACATCGTCACTTGGGGAGACAAAGGCGGCCGGGCATGGTGCTGGCAACCCAACCCCTCGTGTGCCGTGTTGGCCTTCATAGGTGCTTGAGAACAGCACTTGCCCCAACAGTCTGTTCAGGCTATACGGGAGATCTTTGTCTTTGTTTTTGTGTGATGCAGTGGAGTGGTTAGTACGCTGCGCTACGAACTCGGCAACCCGAGTGCGATTCCCGCTCACTGCCCAGTACCAATGCCCATTATCTCAACCGGTCTTGGGCCTCCCCTAGAGATGCGAGAGGTTCTTTGTCTTCGTGGATGATGTACAGCCACGCATACACCCTGCTCTACATAGAGCCAGTTGCTCTAAGTTTGTCAACGTTATTCCTGCCCATGACGGCAGCACGTGTTCAGGAACTCAACGGCGACGTCGAGGTCTGCTGGCCACGACGATAGGGCTGCGTGAGAGAGATAGAGAGCTCGTGTAGACATCATCTTGCTTGCCCTTCGCCAACACATATAACCTCTTGTTGTAACAACTCTCTCGCTGTCTTCTTCCTGGCTCAGCAGTTCTACTGCTGGATTATTTTTCCCACCTGAGAACGACCGCTTGTGTTGCGATCGAAACGTCGTGATCTATTATTTATTATTTTATTTTATTTTTCTACCCTACGTGACTTTACCGAAAGAACGATAGGGCTCATGTAGTTTTGCTCCTCCTCTTTGGAGAGAGCACAGGGCTAGAGTGGTTTACGATACGATCCATAGTTTGGTTGTATGGCTACAATCACACTCCTGCGGTGGCTTGTCTTTTAATGTATCTCTATGCGTCTATGGGTCTCTCTCTCTGTCTCGATGAGTCTCTATATAAATCTATCTTACGTCTCTCTGTGGGGTTTTTACGACATGGGCCACAGCTTGGGTCTCATGGCCCCCCAATCGCGCAGTTTGTCAATGAAACGAGTGCCGTGAGATATTGATTTAAACGTTCAGCAGTGCCACTGATAATTGTGGTCATCATCAATAAGACACAATGAAATGCCCAAGCGCGATCTCTTATTGAACTTTAATAACCAACCAGAGGCTCCGAGCAACCAATCACAAGATAAAGAGATGTGAGAGCCATTGACTTCGCCCGATTTTTCTGCTCAGTATTTTTTTTTATTAACGTGTCTTTCATTGCTTGATGATTCAAGAATAGATGACTAAAAGCAATATACTTTTCTTGGCACGATGAAAAAAAAGGTGTTGGCATTATTACAACGAATATTACCAGCGCGCTATCCATCAAGTAAAGTCAATGTAAAGTACACATTTACCATCATAGTCACACGCGTCTGTCATTGACGTTTTAAATAAACACCAAAAAAATATTTACGTAAATATGCATTTTAAAAAGGAATTCCATTGTTGCGATGCAATGTATTATTGTGCACGCACAATCGTCACGGATAACGGATGCATGTGTGAATATTGACGCGGTGCGCTTGCGTTTGCCGATTGCCCATGCGTCTCACGGATCACCGAAGCACGATGACAGTGGGGGTGAAGGCAAATGGGGGATTGCTCGGGAAACGTCTCGCAAAAAAGGAGAGTTTTGTGATTTATCTCATGGGAATTCCATGGAGACCTATTGCCATTAACATTCTGGGAAACTATTTTTTTTTACTTTGGTTTTTCTATGGAAGTCGCAAACCGCTTTTTTAAAATCCTTTATATTAAGTTCACTTGCTTGCGTGCTTGCTTGCTTGCTTACGACCGTGCAAATCTTTCGGTCGTTTTTAACCCACTTCCCGTGATCCAATCGAGCTGACATTTTGCACACAGACTCGTTGTGCGTGACAATTAATTTTCGTGAAAAAAATTTTCGAAAATTTTACACTTTTTAGGGAATTTTTTAAAAATATTTAATTACCAATTGCTTAATGGTGGCAGACAATCATCTGACCCATAGGTGGCAGCCATCTCAAGCCAGAGGACGAGAGGACTCTAGTCGCCCCGATGCCACGCATATAAAGGATTTATAGTGAAAAAAATTGTTTTTACGGGTTAATTTTCTGTAGTTGTTTAACGTAGCCTCCGTAAAACAATGTTGGTAATGGTATTACGTTCACTGCTAATTTTACAAACACAGTACACTTTTAAAGCTCTTTTAGTCCGTCAACTAAACAGTCTTTGTCATTGTCAATACGAAGTGTTATTCAACAGAAATTATTATTCATAATTTACGAGCGGAGTTATTGAGTGACGAGACAAAGGGCTCCCAGAGCCCCTTGGAGACAGCAATCTCGGAGAAGGGCCCTTAGAAAGTGACACCAAAGAACTACTTCTAAAGTCACTTCAAAAGGCGTCTCTCATCCAGAACGATTGTTCCCAAATGTACTTTCGGAGTAATGTCACAAAGAACCATCCTTCAGGCTCCCCTCGCAAGGCAGGGCATCACACGGCGGAAGAACAAGCACTCGAAGGCGACACCAAACATGTACTTCTGAAGCCGCAACAAAAGCTTCTCTCGTCCAACACCAGAGGCCACTCATTCAAGTCTCGCTGCTGCTGCTGCTGCTGTGCTCGAGTGTGCCGTTTGCCATGCACGGCAGGCCAGGATCCGAATCTAGCATCTCTGCCATGGTGGCGAAATGTTAACTGCCTCGCTTGGTATACAGGAGGGCGTAGGTTTGATCCCAACCCCCATGGTCGCGAGGATTTTTCTCCGCGTC